CGGCTTTCATCGCTTCAATGCGCTTGAATTTTCAGAACCGGGCTCTTCCTAATTTGCATAATCCGTAATCGGCCCGTGGGCATTACGGGAGAATAATGCGCTACAATTCAGTGACAATTAACCAATCAGAGCGCGCGTTATATCGGCCACAAGCCAAAGCCATATAATAAACTAATCTTAATAAACACAAACACCGCATCAAGAGCGGGCATCTCGTTTATTGATGCAGGATACAGCGAGCATTACATCATCAAAGAAAATACAGCGGTAGAAACCAAAACGTTGAAAAGCAACATTGACAGATGCCTTCGAGTGGCTCTTGCATAACTTAGAAAACCTTAAATACAGTGTGGGCCGAAATTTTTGCGGCAGTTTAAGTTTGGGGATCGGCTATTTTTTGTATTTTGCGGGAATTAATTTTTGCGATCGTAATAGACTGGTTGTTTTCGCTGGTTATTACTTTTTGCGATTTTCAATGACCCGCGTTTTATTGAATTCATTGACAACATTTTAGCGTGGCTGAAAGTACCTTAACCATTTAGCAGATACACCTATAGTGTACCAGTGGCGGATCTAGACCTTGAGCTAAGGGGGGGCCAGGGGAGGGGGGGGGGTGGGGGGCAGTTTCGTTTTCCTGTTGGCTTTTCTTCCTCCTGTGATTTCTTCTTNTGGCGTTGTTGTATGACACATCTTATAAGCTTCATTCTTTAGCGCTCGTGATAGAAGCACACCAGTGGCGGATCCAGACCCTGAGCTGAGGCGGGGGGGCCCGGTTTTGTTTTGCTTGCCCTGCCGGCTTTTCTTCCTGCTGTGATTTCTTCTTTTTTTTAGCGAAAATAAGGGGGGAGGCGGGGGGCCCCTCCCCCCTAGATCCGCCACTGCTTTTTTTCGTTTTGTTCCTAATTTTACCGTTTAGTTTCTGAACGACACACACGTTTTAAATAAAAAACATCAACAAAATTCTACATGTGATGTTTTTAAACGAGATGTTTTCGCCAGTGGAGTAAATTTTTTTGCGGAGTAAATTTTTGTGTCGTGTAGAAAACCGCAAAAATTTCGTGGCACACGGTAGCCTACTAGTCGCTGGGCATTCATCACATGTTAAAGCACGCTTAAAATTAATTCCTATACAGTTAAACACGAAACATAAACTATTGTACTATATTCTTGGATAGGTAAGTTTTTACTTTTAAACAAACTAAAGAATTTATGTTACGTATTTTTCATATGTAGCCTGTGAGGGAAAAGCTTCAAAAATGGTTGGCAGTAGCCTCGAATAGTACAACAGTTGGAGTTCCTTACATTTCTCTTTCTTTCTTGATGGGGGTCTGGGATAAAAAGAATTCTACTGAGTGAAGTGGACACTTCAGATTGCCAATAGATCGGATCTATATGAATCTTTGTAAAAGGCGGTAAATTAGTCGCTCGATGATGTCTTCAAGTTCAGTCAGTGAAACAGCAACAACACAAAGTCGTTTATTTATACACGATATGGTCGAATATGGGTAAATGCTACGACTTGCTCGAGGGTTCGTGTTTCTAACGAAGACAACTAAACGTTTCTTAGTAAGACTAACTATGGAACGTGGGATATACGAGCGAGACTCGGAAATATTCCTCCACAATAATTACCGCTGAAGAAGTTTTTATCCTGAAAAACAAAAATGATCATGTACAATGGAGATGAACATTTTATCCCTTGTACTGGTACAAATCAGAGTGTTGTAGTTGAAAGCGAAACCGCGCCTAGAGCCTATCAAAATATGTGAAATAAAAGGTCACTATTTCTTTTGAATCCATTGGTACGAGTCGTGAGGACGAAGAGTTTGCGCATCTTGAAAAGCTAAATCTCTCAAGCTTGTCCTTTGTAATCCGTGGTAATCTTCGTCATCCTTAGCCCCCTTGTTACTTTATGGTTTATTATTATCTCTTTGTGGTTTTTCTATCTTAGTAAACTACTATTTTCAGGTTTCCTTCAATTTGAAGGTGATTTTGTACCCGGCCAAAGTAACTCAAAATACTGTGACTGAGTTCCTTAAACTGGCCTGCTCTTGTCCTAACTCCGGGCGAACTGGATATCACCAGAAGAGAGTTTAAGCTGCTGTGTTCCTTGGATGAGGCTAAATCTTTCTTAATCTTGAAATCAGACAACTGTCGTTCTCGAGACATTCGATGATTGTCTCCTTCTGTTCATCAGTGGTTTCCACGACCACTTCTTTTGACTGGATCTCTTGAGTATCTCCCTGAATGCATCTTTGAACTCTTTACTCGTGATGTAATAGACTAGTGGATTAGCAGACGAATTGATCATAATCAACATTATAAGCTGGCCAATGATCAGGTTGTAGTAAGATTTCATCCAAAACCCTGGCTTAATCAGCAGCACGACGCGTAGAACGTTCATGGGAAACATTGTTACAGCAAACAAAACTACCAGAGGTGTAAGAATTCGCGTTGTCTTCTTGCTTTTTCGCCAGATTCTTTTGTCGCTTCTTTCTCTGTTTGATGGAGCTTGCGACAAGACTGCCTGATCTCCATCATCGTACTCTGACATCGAGGTTCGGAACTTGACACTTTCACGTACCCTTTTCTTGATCCTCAAATAAGTGAATGTTATGACAACCAGAGGAAGTGCATACCAGCCGACGATGAGAGCTATTGAGTAAGACAGGAATACCGCATTTGCCCCAGACATATCAGGCCATTCCAGGTAGCAGATTTCCAGAGTCGAATGGTAAGCCATAACCGCGTACAGAGGAACAGATGAAAATAAAAACGACGTCAACCACACTACGCCAATAACCACAAAAGTCGTCATTCGAGATCTGTGCTTGATCTGATATCGTTTGGCGCCAACAATATTCCGATATCTCTCGATGGCAATGGCCGTAATCGACCAGACTGAGGCTCCGAAGAATATCTCCACGGTAGGATACAGGTAATGACACGCATGTTTTCCTAACAACCAGCGAAATGGGAAGAGGTATTTTAACACTACCATAGGATAGATGATAAGTAGTACCCCCAAATCTGCTATGGCCAAGCTCAGCAAGTAATAATTCATGGAGCTCTTCATCTTGGGGCGTGTAAGGATAGCGATGCACACGAAAACATTACCAATCACACCCAGGAGTACAATGGTTGACCACAAACTGATTTGGAACACTATAGCTCCTAATGGCTGGTGGAGGTAGACTGGAAAACCCGGTGCTGCAGTTGGCGAGACGCTTGCATTCACTGCTGATGTATTGAGTGTTTGGTTACTGTACAGGTTATTCATGATTGGTCTTTCCTTTTTCTACCTGCAAGAGAAAGAATGTTCATCTTGAAGTACAAAAGGATTTTTATAATTTTTTGCAATGTTGTAATTTAGTTCAAAAGTACTCATTACCCTTGCGAGCAACTGGCAACTTTGTCATTGTTATTGTTGTCGGACGGTGGCTCAAAACAGTTTCCAGCGTTTAGATTTTGATGGGTCCTTATAACCACTCTTTATCACTTGACGCTGCAATCATGGTATCAAAAAAACTGCCCAATCATTGGTGAACACGATGTTATCATTTTCGTGACGCAATAGGTTACCATAGCAACAGTATGATCCGCTAAAATACCCTTAATTACAGTTTTAGGGGCTTATAATTAAAAAACGGTATGGTGAAATTTTTTTATATTATGAAATTTTCAAAAGCACGATAAGACGCAACTTTTGGCAAAGTTTTTAAAAAAATCTCTGCATAGGGTTCAGAGCCGCCTTAAAGTTATGAAAATCTCCCAAAGTGTGTCAGTATTTTCTTTTATTTCTATTGGTTATCTTTATAGATCTGTCAAGTTCCACTATCGAAAAATTCGCGTAACGTATTGCGTTAGAGGTCGCCACGAGAAAAGTACTTAAAATTAAAGAATTCGCCGACAGTGTTGTTCGTTATCTATCAGTGAATGTTCTGGCCAAATTTCACGGAAAACCGTCGATTCTACATACCCTATTAATTCATTTAAAGAAGAGGGATTCTCTCGAAAAACAGACGAGTGCGAGTTCTCGCCTTATAAAGATTTATAAACATGTTACACCTTCCCAGAGGGATATGTCAACTCAAAAAGCCGCCAACCAACGAAATAGCTGAACCCCTAGTGTTCACAGTGTGCAAACTGGGGCTTCGCGGGAAAGCGATAGTGTTACAGTCGCGTTTTAGGCGCACACGTCACGAAAGCAATCTCTAACAAAATAAAAAGAAACCGAGGAGCAATTGCCGAAGCGTGATTACAAGGAGGCGATCTTGAAAGCCTTTTGAGGATTATTACACCTTGACGGTTTACTTTTATTAAATAAAAATATCTTTTTCCCAATATCTCGCGCGCTTTAATATTTCATTTTCATTTTTTGGAAGACGTTACCTTAAATAATGGACTCTAATTTGGTTGAAGAAAAAAAGAAAATTTGGCAAAAGTATCCCCGCGAAGGTTTGGAGTAACCTTAAGGGAAAACAAATTTGTCAAAACTAAATTCCTTTTAGGTCTGTTTGAGTTAAATAACCTATAACTCTTGCCGTGTTTCCGGCCTGTCGGGCCGCAGCGTGATCGAGACAATTCACCAGTGCTTCATGTCTCGTGTAAAAGATTTTGTTCTGTAGTATATCCCCCTCAGATTTCTAAGTTGAATGCTGTTGATGACAGCAACGTTATCGCAAATTCCATTGTACATGACGATTCAAAGATCATGATGTGCTAAAAAGCCTAAAAAATCATGCCGTGTTTCGCTGTAGTTATCGTCGAATTGCAACACGATCCATTTAGCTTTCAGCTTCACAGTGCTAACCGACTCATGTAAATAATCACTTTTCTCCATTACTTCTCCACAGATTTCTAAGTTAGATACGCCATTTGAAAGCTAATTGAACATAGATTCCGCAGTACGCTAAGATTCAGAGGCCAGTATAGTCCATGATCGTCAAATGGCCAAAAAATCATTCCGTTTTTCACCACAATTACCCTCAAATGGCTAATTAAAACCATCTCAAACTCATCCCATCCATGCACCTTTCAAATATTATGTTATGAATAACTTGCTTTTTCCAGCATACCTGCACAGAATTCTACGTTCAATACGTCAGTAGAAAGCTAAGAGAACGTGAATTCTTATGAAAATTATGATTTGTTCGTCAAGATGCACTAAGTAGCTCAATTGGCCAGGTACATTCACTATGTAGTCCCCAATTGTCAACGCCATCTTGAATTCCGAGCATCTGTTTGAAATCGTCCGCCGGACGATCGAAAGGTCGCACATGCGCAACTTAGGATAGCGTCTATTTGAGAACTCTTTTTACGAAGTGAAGTCCCTGGAGTCAAGTGTTGGCTAGCGAACTAATTTCCATCTATCTCCGTTGAGGGGAAACAGCCAACCTATCTTTTAAGTCTGTTCAAAAGTGCGAAAGCTGTTACACGCACGTCTGGCTGTTTGGTCGAAACACAAGTAATGCAAATGTGGTGTTGCCTGTTGTTTTTTAAAGTAAATGAAAAACAGAAATTAAACTGCAAGATAATGCGAGTTGCTGCAAAACTCGTCAGGAGTTTTGCCAAACAAACTGGAGCAACCGAATTTAATGGCATTTCAAGTCTGCGTAGAAAGTGGCTTTATAAGCTCCGGCCTGATGGCCCACCTGGTTCGTATGTAGACTTAACCTATTGGGTGTCTTCAACTTATTCTTTCTGGGGATATCCTATCTCCCCAGACATTCCAATCTTGTCTACACAAACTAAAATAGTAAAGACAAATTTATACCACTTTGGGTACGGTCGATTGGCCTAGTTCCTGAATAAGAATGGATTGATGAAGTCGCTATTCCGTTCGATTCCCGCTCAGGGAACAGAATACTCAAAATCTGTCGCGGCATTGGTGACGGTGGAGATAAACGATAACATAAGAAGAAAACGCAGACAATGAGTTAATGAAGGGAGTTGTTCCCCAACTAAAATTATGAAAAGAAAAATGATTTGTTGCCAGTATGTGAACGAACATCGGAATTACAACGCGACCATGATGACTCGACAGGGCGTCCAGCAACTCTTGGGAAGTAAACTGACGCACGGAAATGACGAGGAGAGTAGCGGGCTTCCAAAATACGCCTCTCGGGTTTAAAAGGAGCCGTTCTACGTCTCAAAAAACGCACCAAAATCTACAGTTTTGATCGGATTAGGAGAACGCATTTTGGTGGCGTGAAAGGAAGGCGACTTCTTTCTACAATGAATTTGTGCGGTTTTGTTTTTGTAGCTAAAGTACTTACCAGTGCCAATTTTAATGAATTAGAAAGTAAAGCAGCTGGAATATCAAAAGCATGTCTTATTCTTTGAAAAGTTGTTTTCTTTTTTTATTACGGCTTGGCTCGCCGTATTCAATATCTGATTTAACATGTCATTTACGTTATCTGATCGCACAATGTATCTGATGGGTTTAATTGAACGGTCCTTGGTCATTGCGCCAAGTTTAGGCTAGTGTCGTTGCATGACTGAAGTAGAATAGAAAAGTTTGATTTTAAAAGAAAAACCGAAAACTGATTGGCTATTCAAGCACCGTTAATCGATCGACAGAGGACAATGTGTTAGGTGGCTGTCTATAGATACTGATGAAAATTATTTTCTTGATGGCTATCGACAGCTAATTCGGAGGGCAACGCAGTTTTAACATACGATGCTTTAGAAGCCATTAAACTTCTTAGCCCTACCTTTTATAAACCAGCACTTTTTAGTTCTCTTTTTTTTTTTTTTTTGCGGGCTCTCGCGAATACATTTCAGTAATCCTGTAACTGATCGCATATTTTGTGCTAAGAACCTTTGCACCTTTACACGCAGTTTTAAAGGTAAACTGGGAAAAATGTAGCCCAAAATGGAGGACACTTTCTGCCTATGTTGCTTCCTGACTGAGATGAAATCAAGTCAGCGTGCAGCTAAATTGCATATTTGATTTGTATGCCTGCGAAACTTTCTTGTAAAGAAGGACGACAACTATGATTATTTTGGTGCTTTGTTATTTGTTTTGTGACCCCCTCAAAAACAGCGTCTTTCCACGCAGACTTCTTATGCCTTTAAATTCAGTTGCTCCAGTTACCAGCTGAGTTTTGCCGCGACTCGCCTTAACTTGCAATTTTCTTTCTTTTTTTCATATTTACTATCAAACAAACAACAGGCAACACCACATTTGCATTACAACAGGTGAAAGAGACCAAACATTACGTTATTTATGTTTTAGTCCTTGTAAGGGCTCGATGTCTCTGTTGTTCTTGTTAAACACCTTATCGTAAACAACACAAAATATTGTCTCTGTAAGATTCCCCCTTAGCTTTGCCTTCCTGTATACCTCTGATAGTAATATTTTATGGCTGTTATGTTCAGTTTTTAAATATTTCACTGCAGCGGCACGTTAAAGAATTATTAATTTTGAATAATCTTCCTTGTATATGATGGTTTGCATTTAAAGGCTAACAAATAGTTACCTGTAGTCTATGAAGTGGATAATCATTGTGATGTACATCAGCTCTCCTGAGTGGATCGCATAACCTGAAAAAAGCAGCTTAATGTCTAAACAACTGAGAGCAATGTTTGCATTTCTTTGATAGGGCACGTGTTCGAATAAATTGAAAGAAGGTGATGCTATACCTGATATGGCTGTTAGTAACATCATTGCATGAATAATTTATTCTCAGTGGAGTGAAACGTGCTGTATAGATGTAGCGATAAACTGTATGGCAGCGAGCAGGACCAATTAGGAAATCTGAGGCCGAGACACAATAATTAAGGCCATTCAGTAGCCACAATCATTTTACATTATGACCGTCCAAATCTGCGGCTTCACGAGCCCTCGAGGAGATTTCAATTTTCATTAGCCAACAGCTTCCACTAGAGATTCTTATGTCTGCTTTTCTAATTTGGCAGAAGCCCCAAACGCCCTGAGATAAAGTAAGAGTTTTGTGGGAGATGAGATTATCAGAAAATAAACCTTTTGACTTAAGCCAAGTTTACTTTTGAACCTTGCTATTTAAAATTTTACCTATACAGCCAGTCCTCATAACATAGCTTATCCGGCGTCTCTTGTTTTTTTTTTTTCTTTTTTTTCTACACCCGTAGTGTGATTTATTAATCACCGCCTTTCGTTTGTCTGACGTACTATAACCTGTTTTCACCCTACAAACAAAACCTACTGGTTGTAGTATTTAATCAAATTTTAGCCCTCTCAAAGGGTTGATATAACTGTTTTTCTTCTGTATTATTGTCAAAAATATAAATTTCTGCAGGAATTTCCAAATTAAAAGCTTATTTCCAACCTTGTAATGAACAGGCCCCAAATGTAACTGAGCATTTTGTGATAACTGCCATTCTTTAGTAGATCCGTTTAACGTCACCAGCCCAAATGTATGTACAGTGTGTAACTACCTTTTCGAGTAGATTTCAAGGTACCGATAGGAACCTAGAATTATTTTCCATGCAAATCAGTCTAACTGCATACACCTGAAGTTTTTTTTTATATTTTGAGACTTACAAAATTTATTTCCATGCCACTTCATCTGAATATCTCAAGAACATTATTTATTTTCCAATTTGCGTAATTTTTAAAGTGTCAACGTGCACCTGTATGCCAGGTTCAAAAACATCTATTTAAGGTTACAGTATACCTTCGAGTCGGCAATTTTCTTCAAATTTGGCTTTCTTGAGTCAAAGTAGTGGTCGAAGATTAATCTCGAATTTCTGAAAAAAATGTTTGAAAAAGGCTAAATATTGGCG